CCTCAACCTGGGAAGTGGTTAAGTGCCATCAAGTCAGTGTCAACTCTTAGTGGCCACACAGATGGATGTCCTCTGTGAGGCTCTGTCCCCAGCCTGGTCCTTCAGCGCTTCCAACACTGCATCTATCATTGCTAGAACTGAGTCCGTCCACCTGGCTGCCGGTTGTCCTCTTCTTCTCTTCCCACCTGTCCCAGCATCAGGATCTTCTTCAGGTCTTCATATCATATCCCAAAGTAGGATTACTTGAGCCTGGTCACAGGTGAGTGAGAACTCTTAAGAGTTGATTTGTTCTAGGATCCATTGGTCTGTTTTCTTGGCTCTCTCATCTTCTCTAAGGTCAACGTTCGAGATCTTTCATTCTCTTCCTCTCCTGTTCCAAGGATGCTCGCCCCCACCACCCCCAGGCAACTGGAGTTTTTCCTTTGAAGATGTTTCCACACCCATTTGCACCGCTCAGGTGACCCTGAGGACAGAGATAAACCTCCAGGTGGCCTCAACAACCCTCTAAAAGGATGCAAATGACCAGCTGTCTGCAAGGAGTATCAATCCTTCCATTCCCCACCATCCAGTCAGAGCTGGAGAAGCTTCTGGGATGACAAGCAAAAAGTCCTCAAAGAAAAACAAGAAAGTCTAGTTGCCTAGTGGGAAAAAAAAAGCATCTTTGGGACAAATATGACCTGGATGACTGAGAATCTTCATAGATTCTCATGGTTCTTCAAAGTCCAACTTTGGCTCCCACAGAGGGTCACAGGAAATAACACAGGATCCTGATATTCAACCTTTAAAAAAGTCTGCCTAAAATAAAAGCCTAGATAACATATGAAGAGGGCAGCCAAATAACCTGGACCAAAAGTCTCCAGGCCTTGGCCAAAATCCATGAGCAAAACATGGAGAAAAGTTGGTGAACGGCTGTTGCTAACCTTCCCATTTAACGCAGCTGCCTCCAGAAAGACAGCTTTGTTTTTTTAATCGACGCTGCCGCTTGGTTTTTATTTCTGCTCCAATTCTCTTTCTGGCAGCGGCAGGCCAGCCCTCATGTTCCAGGACAAGTGCCAAAGAAATGTGCAGTGAACCGTTCACATTTATTGCTTCAATCTTACGTCGCAATCTCTCTCTCTCTTTTTTAAAGGTAAGTCGGCTGTGTTTGGCCATTAGCTAATCTGGTTTCACAATTAACTGATCAAATCGATGACGATTAAAATTCCCAACGATGCTGGCTCTGCAGGTTCAGGGAGGTGGGGGGTGTATGAAATGTCATGACTTATAAATAGAACGAAGCAAAGTGTGCTGGGCTCCATTAAAGAGAAAATAACAACAACAACAACAACAACAACAACAACAACAATAATAATAGAGTTGGAAGGTCTTCTAGGCCAGCCCCCTGCTCCAGCAGGAAACCCTCTACCATTTCAGACAAATGGTGGTCCATATTTTTAAAAGTATCTTTTATGTCATCCTCTAAAACACGGGGAGCCTCAAGGGGCAAAGAGAGAGAAAAGGAAGGGATTAGCAACCAGGGCCCCAAGTCCCACAAGTCAGCAACACAAAGACAACAGCAAAGAG